TCATGATATTCGGTGTTTGAGTACCAATTCAAATGAGGCATATAAACAATGTAGGTAGGGGAAGCAGGAGGATGCTCACAAGAAGGGAAAGCTCACAATTGGAAAGTTGAAATTGTCCCACATATCATACAGCTTGGTAGTAAGTTGTCTCTGTTGGTCATGTTGTAAGTAAAGAATAAGGAAAGCGTCTGAAGTTGAAGAGTCTGTGGTGTCCTTGATTTCAAACTCTAGAGGGTATATTATATGATCAGTATGGTTAATGAATTTCTTGTAATTCAAAGACAGCATATCATCCATATATCTGAATTTAAAATTGAGAAAGACCTGGCTTTAATTCTGTAAAATGCAATTCAACATTAGGTTTTTTATGTATCACTTGAAAAGCACAGTGTAACAGATGCGTGCCTACAGTTCATTACCAAGTTCAATCTTGGACCCAGTAACTGTTGTAACAAATAAATGCCGACAATATCTACAAAATAATGACCGTTTATCTGACTCAAATAACAATTACCTAATGATTCAACAAACTACTGCCTCAAATCACTATTACTGCCTAAACTACACCCGGTGGATATTTTGCATCTATTACAATATACCTGTACCACTAATATAGTAAAAAAGTCAACTAAAACACTGTATCACAATTTCTACCACAATACGCTGTGTTATTCCACTCTCAGATCATTCTATAAACGCGCAAACTGTAAGATAAATATGAGTTATATACCACAGGTGGTATATGACCTTCAAGAGTTTTGATTGGTCGAGAAGATGAACTTTGACCGGAACGACTTTTCCACACGCTTTTTGCCACATGCTAATTTGTTTACGTTGTCTGCTGTCAACATCCGACAAATGTTGGTGACTTTGTGAGGTTATGCGGAAAAGGGGATTATTAACCCTTTCATTGCCACATTAGTTACAATGTATATATGTGTATAAATTACATTAATTCAGTAAAATTTAAGATTTTTCAATCATTTTATTCAAATGTCAATATCTTTGGTAATATCCATGGGATCTTTATGAAATTTGGCACTTCACTTGCAAATTATCTACTGATTATGAACATATGTTCAAATTTGCTATATTATCTCATTTACCTGTAAAAAATGCAGGTGAAAAATGTAAAAAATACAGGTGAAAAAGCTAATTAAAGGTAAAAATTTAATAAAAATGTTATTAAATGCATATAAAATGAATGAAAGTGTTTGTTGTTATTCATATTCTACTTACAGCAATAAACTATGATCTTCCAAGAACAAAATGACACATTTGTTACTAATTATATATCTCAGATAAGTTCAGGTAAGGTAATAAAATGATCAGGTAAATTAGCACAAATCTTCAACTAAAGTTCTTAGTTTTATACCTACATAAAACAACTTTTGAGTGTATCTAAATCCTCCAAATATGCACTTCCATGATGTACTGGCAACCCCACAGTGTCAGGTAAGTTTCAAGTATATTCCTCATCAGGTGAGATACAGGTTAACGAGCACAGGTGAGATACAGGTAAATATTTTCAAAATTCAAAACTGACAAGTTTCTGAAGCTTTTTTTCCTTTTTCAAGACTTTTCACACAAGTAACGTTCAAAACTGATTAGTTTGTCTCATGATAATCAGTAAAACATCTAACTCTGCACAAGGGCATGGCACAGAATTGGCACATGAAAGATGTCTCCACCGAACGTCTCTTTGGAGTTTTACGTCCTTGTTTGGCACATTCCCGACACACCCTCTTTCGACCCGCGATCTTCACTAGCTTGTGATGGTTGATAGCACCAAGCACAGGACGTTTTTCCTCATTTTTGGACTTCCTGCCTGCTCGATGTTTCCTACAGGTAAATCCTGCCAGCAGCTGATCAGCAACATCCATGCGGAATTGCAGGTGATCATAGTATTTCTTAGGTGGGGGTTCCTTATTCTCCGTTTTCTGAAACAGGATCCAGGCATTTACAATTGCTAAGTTCACAATGTGCCACATAACATACCGCCACCACTTGTTTCCTGGTCTTCCAACTGGATAGTAAGATGCCATTTGGTCGAACTTGTCTACACCGCCCATGTACATGTTGTAAGAAACGTTGACGTGAGGTTTATGCAGGTCCTGGTTCATGTTTGGCTGCTCTGATGTAGAAAGAAATGTTATTTGTCTTTTATCTTTGAAAACTGTAGCAAGAAGATTTCCTTTCTGTATCTGTACAAGTTCACCCCGTTTTTTCAGTTTTGCCTTTTTGATATCATCTGGAAGACCTTTCCTATTGGACATTATTGTTCCACACACATACGTGTTCACAAGTTCCAGGTGTTCAGCTAATGTCACAGAGGAAAAGAATCTATCATAGTATAAATGTCTGTTTTGGTTATGGTATGACTCTGATAAACTCCAAACTACATCATATCCAAGTCCATTATGCCTTTCCCCTCCACGTTTTTTTCCAGTGTATATCTCAAATTTGCAACAGTATGCAGTATCTGCCTCACAAATCTGCCAAACTTTGATACCCCACTTGGTAGGTTTAGCAGGCATATACTGCCTGAAATGAACTCTACCCTTAAAACCAATCATCCCTTCATCTATAGAGAGTTTCTGTCTAGGTTTGTAGTTTTCTTGTAACTTTGGAAGTATAAGATCGATCATAGTTCTCACTTTGAACAAAGGGTCATAGTCTGGATCATTCCTGCCTGGCACGTTACTGGTGTCTCTCAGGTGAATATATCTGTTCAACTGAATAAATCTGCTCTTTGGAAATATTGAGCTAATATATGGATCTGAGAACCGTTTATCAGTACTCCAATAGTTGGTTATTCTTGGAATACCCATCATGATATTCACAGAAATGAAGGCACGTACCTCAGATGCTGACGTCGGTATCCATTTTGGATCCGGGCCTTTTTGGTCTGCATATCTGTTCGTCTCAACTGCTACGGTTTCAAAGAAAGTTTGTGGCAAAAAACGTGTAAAATATTGGAGATGTTTTGCATCAGACGACAATCCGTGATTTACACCAGTAGTTTCAGTGAAATCCGGCAAAACAATTTCCGACAAATTACGAGTCCATTCCCGATTCAAATTTCCTAAATATGGGTCGTCGCCATTTTCATTTTCACTTTCAATTACCTGATCGTCGCCAGAATCGCCCGTACCGGTACCATCCTCATCATCGTCAGAATCATCAGAAATATCAATGTCAGATTCATTGTAGGCCTGCTCAAGTTCATGTTGTTTTGATATGAATCTTGTGTTTGCCTCGTCGATATCGTGTTCGTCAAAACCATCAAAGTCAGACTCATCCGACGACTCCATGTTTCATTGACGAATATTGAAATTTCATCCGAAAAACTGTAAAAACTTCCCTTATTCCTCCGAAATTCCTGCAGATTTTTACTCGGTTGTAAACCGGAAATAACAGCCGATCATAGTCACATAAACTCTTGATGATAATGACGCATATTTCCGCTTGGTTAGGTAGCAACGCAGGGACGCTGTACACGGCCGGTTTAGCACTATACGATTGCGGCCGGTTTAGTAACGAAAGGGTTAAGGCAATATTAAAAGAAGGTGATACTTAAAGATTTGATCGTTAGTTTCAGGCAAAATTGCTACAGACGCTCGATATCGTTTCGACGTCACACCGTCGCGTGTCCAGGTCGTGAAACCAAAACAAGATCTGTCACAGTGTCAGAAAATACTTCGTTCCCCCAACGTCTCGTTTTCGCTATTTGGACGGCCTGACTATGGCTGAACTTTCACAAAAAAAGGCCAATCATAGAAGCGTCACGAAGAAACGTAGGCCTATGGTTTTGGACATTGACAGCGATACGTTCGTCTTCATCACTTGGCGGGAGGCAGACTTCGTACGATATGCTTACGCGCATATAGTCTGTGGTTAATTTATGTAAATTAATGCAATACTGCTACTCTCAATATTTTAAGTCGTTCCATCTATTATATTTTTTCATGATGTTGTTGCCGAAACATTAATTTTGACAATTATTAAATTTGTAAAGAAAGAGTCATTTTTAAATATGAATGAGTGACTTTTTACATATGGGTCATATCACTACACCCGCCTTGTCAACAAACACGTGTGTATGTTATTTCCGACTGATCATGAGATTGTGGTAGAAACAGATCACACGACTCGTGGGTGTTGAGTATGGTATGTATTTCACTCTCGTTAGTTAATTTTCAAAAGTTACAGAAAGACACTCGCTAAAGCTCTTGTATTTTGTAACTTTTGAAAATTAACTAACTCGAGTGAAATAAATACCATACTCAACAACCACTCGTTGTGTAACCTCTATATATCTATCACCCTGTATCAAAAGTAAATAGCCCCTAACTGCGACACCCGTGACTGTGTATACCCTTTACCGTGACACACCTTGACCACGTCACACTTTACTGTGACCACCTTGACCATGTCAACCTTCAACGCGACACACCTTAACCATGTCACCCTTTACCGCGACTACCTTTTGACCAAGTCAGCCTAGACTATGAAACCTATGCCTTGGTAAACCCTGAAGCCTTGGTAAAACCTGTGTCTTGGTACCTGTCACTCTGTATTTATCATCAGTACATCACCCTGAACTGTGATACCCTGTGAATATGCACACTATCCAGTAATACAATTTAATTTGACCATGTACTATAAAATAATATCAACTGTAAATCAAAATAACCCAATTCATGTAGGGCCCCCGCTATTGAAATGGACAGCTTCAGTAATTCTGGAGGGGGGGTGGGNAAGTTTATATGTTAAAACAGGATGAAGAATTCCACCAGAATACACAAACCGATTTTAACGATACGTATAAGAACATCACCCTTTATATTGTTTTTACCTTTGTATCCATGCTGATTTCAGTTACTTTTTATAATGTGCATAAGTTTTCAATATCTCAACTGAAACTTTACACAAGTTTCCTTCTTCGTCTTCGATAAAATCACGATTGGGTAAGTCATTTTTACACTTCATATACTCACATGACAATTCTTGATAAAATGGCCGACACCATCGTTCCTTGTTGAGTAATATCTATGAATAAACGTTGAAATAAAACATCACGATAGGTAAAAATTCGAAATCAATCCTAGGTCTAGTAGAAATGTCTTCTGTGTAAAGCGCCCTCTGAACAGGTGATTGTCAAGGGGGATAACTGTAATGTACTATCTAAACAATAATGTAAACATTGGCCATTCGCGCTCTAAAATAACGTATCTAATATATTATTTGCTACCACGCGTCGTTCAGTTAAATTTTTCATGAGTATTTCAAAAATATATAGGTTCCAAGCTAAGTGTTCGGTTTTCAATATGAAATGAAATTCTGCCGAAAGTGTCTTATCATTTTTTGAAACTGGAACAAGTCTCGTTCTATTGAAATTTGGTATTTACGAAAGCTTGTCGTGTATCATCCTTTAAACAGCATCAATATGTGTTTTTAATATAACTTTACATTCAATTATAACTGTTTTTGTTAGTTAAAATAACGAAAGGAAACATTTTCCGGTGCACTATATTATCTTGGGGATATTTGTTTATAACTCATGACCTAATGACCCCAAATGTCAAACTTTGTGTTATGTATTCATGCGCAGTACTCTGGAGAAAGGAGACATAGGAATTTTGTTAAAAGTTTCCTAATATTGGAGTAATGTAAAACAACAAAAATGGATACATTGTGAAGCAATGGCGTATAAGAGTAGAGAGGAAATAGCTGGGAAAAGATTTCTTTCTGTGCGGTGTTCTGGGAAGTTAAAACTTAACAAAATTGTCGATTGGGAATGGCGGAGTGGAGTTGTACGAGCAGTTACTGGCAAAGATACCAGTAACCCCGATGTCTCGGTAAGTGTACAAATATATTTTACGTCGAGTTTGTATTAATTGTATAGCTGTTAACCTTAATAAATATACTGTGCATTTTTAGGCAACTTTCAGTTATAATTTGTAAGTTCTACCCTCGAACATGTGTGCTGGTATACTAGGTCATGTGTTCGCTGGCATTGGGTTTTTTGTGTATGATTACTTACACGGTAGTGTATCGGGCACCTAGATATGGACCATCTTCTGAAATGTGCCCATGCAACCCGTTTTTGTTCATTCATAACCTGTTTACAATATCAGTTTACATTGAACAAGTTGATCATTTAGCTACTGGCGTTCTAATAAAAAAAACTTTAGTGTGATTTAATTGGGACAAACCAAAAAGTAGGTGTGGCTTCAACTCGTCCTAAGTTCATTTGAGTTTTGGACAATCCCAGTGTGTGTATTTCACCTCCTTATGGTTCCGTACCGAGATTACATTCAACACAAAGGGTTGAATCCCGGGAATGCTTGATTCAGTGAATTCTATGCTATTAACAGAAAAAAATACATTGTGCTTCCCAAATCTGAATTCTGATCTTTAGCAACAGATGACTTGAATATGAATACTTATTGATTTACTTTTACTCCTCTTGATTTGCTTTCACTTCTTTTTCAGTACTGATCATGTGTCCATGCTCCTTTTTTTAACTTTAAATTTAGAAGACAATTTGAGCCTTTTTGTAGAAGTTTTGTTCATACCAACTCATATTTAATAAATCAACAAATTTTATAAGAATTAAATTTGTAGAATATACTGCAGAGCTGTCCTGATTATTGATGAAAATAATAAGAAAAAACAGTTGTATAGGGACCAGCATTTAAACCTAATTCAATTGACTAAAATGCTTCAATTAGTTAATTTCTTGTTTTCCATTATGGAAACAATGTAACCGGACTTAAATTAAATTAGTGACCATTAATTTGTGTTTATGATGAACTTAATATAAATATTTGTTTTCTGAAAGGTCATTATCAGGTCCAGTACACTCTGCCGATTGAGCTATATAGCTATAAAGACCTATATAGCTATATACACCTATTAATTATAGCTGTATTGAGCTATATTTTCTCAAATTTCAAATTTCATTAAATTAAAGCAAAGTCGCATAAAACAATAAGGTTTATGGTAATGTTGACTACAAGGAGCATACAGTTAGATGTTTATTTTCATTTTTCATAAATGTAAAATTTCCGATTTTTTTACATCATTATTTTTTAAAACGAATACTTGAATTTAATGTCTTTTGTTATCAACCTAATGATACAATCTTCTTTTAAAAGCGACTTTGTTTCGTTTTCTTTAAAAAAAGAAAATCACTTGAAAATAGCTCAAAAGACCTATTTCAGATAGGTCAATAGAGCTATAATTATATAGCTCAATCGGCAGAGTGTACTGGACCTGATTATCTATGGTTACAATTCCATAACTGTAATAATTTGCAACAATTGTAATGAAACTTGTTTGATGAAATATTGATTATTAGATTACCATTTAACTCATTCACCCCTGAAATATCAAATGTGTCTTCAGGGGTGAATGAGTTAAAACCAATGTTTTGGGAAAACCTTATAAAAGATTATTTTCTCTTGCAAATTAAAAAAAATCGTTAAGTTGGCTTAAAAATCTTTTTTACAATTGAAGGCCTATGAAGTAAGAAAAACAAAATTCAGTTGAACGTAAGTTCTATGAATAAAAAAATATTGAAAATTATTGCTTAATTTTATTTCCTGATTAAAAAAAAAGATACATGATGGTTTTTAATTAAACAGAATCTTTCAATCATTAGTAAAGACATGTTTAACTCCCAAACAATAATTATTAAATGATCCTTAAACAGTTTCAGATCAGTGATTACCAATCAATTTCTACCTAGTAAGGTCTATTTATCAAATATGTTAAGTTAAAATTATCAGATATTAAATTTCTAAATCTACACTTGCATGGTGGTCAATGTAAGGACTTGTTGTAACATACGTTTTATTTGAAATGGTTTGTTGGAATTGGCTGATTATTTAATATTCAATGAAGAAAGCTTTGGAATGATGTCATCTGTTTTTTTCCGTGTTATCTAGTTTCTTTTATATATATATACATATACTAGTTATTCCATTTGCTAAGATTATTATGATTTTAATTCAACAGTGCTATAAGTCTGGAAATCTCAAAGAGAGTTAGAGATGCATTTTCAGAACAAAACAAGATGTGGTCCCTAATTGTGTTACATATGTTGGGTTGGTATGATGATCAGATTATATCTTGTTTCCAAAGCTTGGTGCTTGCCTTCAGATCGATGGTGATGCAAGAACTGCAGCTGAACTTTGTCCTAGTTGCGTAGCTGGGACTGGAAATCTGGGTTCATTGTTTTGTCTTCCAAGTTGATGTGTATGCATCTAATTTGCTCCGTATTATAAAAGTTTTGTTCAAGAGTTGAGTGTCGGTCAGTATGCAATTTTGTATGAAATTGTATCCATTTCAGAAAGATTTGATATATATATATTCAAGTCATGAATGCCTAAAATTTTCATGTCTAACATTTGGTTGTAAAATGACATTGTAGTGAATGACAATGTTTCTCGTTATAATACTCGTGCTTTCTTTGTGGGACTTGATTAACATTTTGAGAACCAACCATGTACATAAGTAATTATGGACTCATCAAATGTTAGTAAAAATATGCTCTGCTCGGGGCTTGCCTGGAAATACTACAAAAACACTGTTTATTTATATTATAGTTTAACTTCTGAATAAAAGGTAATGTTTGAGAAAAGGCACAAAGTATTGTGTTATTTTAATATTTTAAAAAGAATTGAATAAATCACTGCCGAAAAATTAATTTAAGATTTGATTTTCAGCAGAGATCTTGAAATGTTTGTGTATCTGCTTCTGAAATAGGAAGGGAAAAACCCTTTTGAGATGCCCCCTGGTTTCTAGGAATCTTACCTGTTGCCTAGCTTATTATAGATAGGCTTTATCAGTTGTTCAATGTGGATAATTGAGACAAATTCACAATCGACATCAACTTTTAGTTAAAAAAATGAAAAAGTTTTATTGTTATTTCAATTGGTCTTTCAAGCTTTTATGTTTTGTTCCATTAGATTCAAAACACACACAAGTACATGCAAGTCACCTTAGGAAGAAAATGTCTTCAAGTCTCTATGCACGTATTGGCTTGGTAACTATCTGGCTCAGCCATCTGTCACAGAGGTACCACAGCATGTCTACCCAGTTAGATTGGTCATTGTTGGGTTTGTCCAGTACACTTAATATAGTCTTGGTCCCTCTGAGTACTCATGTCCAGAAGGACCAGAAGGCAATATTCAGATTCAGTTAGTCAGAAGGTCAGTATTACCCACTCAGTACCCAGCCATTACCCATTATACTACTCAATACCCAACAGCTAGGTCAGAAGTCAATAATTAATCAAGTAATAAAGTGGGTCATAAGCATGCATATATATATATACAATACCCAGTAATCAACAGCTGGGTCAAAAACCAAAAAGACTATCCAGTACCCAGCAGCTAGATCAGAATCCAGTACCCAGCAGCTAGGTCAGGAGCCATTAACCACCTAGTACCCAGCAGCTAGATCAGGAGCCAGTACATATGCCCACCCAGTACCCAGCAGCTAGGTCAGAAGCCATTACCCACCTAGTACCCAGTAGCTAGGTCAGAAGTTAGTTCACACCCAGTACCCACAGCTAGATCAGGAGCCAGGACATATACCCACCCAGTACCCAGTAGCTAGGTCAAATGCCGACACCCACCCAGTACCCAGCAGCTAGATCAGAATCCAGTACACACCCACTTAATACCCAGCAGCTAGGTCAGAAGTTAGTTCACACCCAGTACCTAGTAGCTAGGTCAGATGCCAATATGCTAGTACCCAGTACCTACATCAGAAGCAAGCACTAACCCAGTACCCAGTAGCTATATGTCAGAAGCAGTTAAATATACTACCCGGTACCCAGCAGCTAGGTCAGATGCCAATATACTACTACTAACTAGTAACCCACATCATGAAGACAGTACATACCCAGTATCCAGTAGCTAGGTCAAGGTCACAATTATACATACATGTATAATCTAAGTTGTTTTTGTTGACTTTGATTGAACTTTGATATTTACTTTAGTTTTCTTTGGTTAACATTTTGGACTTGTAGCTCCATTTCCATCAAAGTAGGAGCATGTGTTTAACACACATTTTCTACTCTAACAAAAATAACCAAGTTTATAAAATATATAGATGTGATGAGGTTCAGAAAAGGAATCTTGATCTCTATTTGTTTGGCAGAGCTTGATATAGCCGAGTTATAATTTTCAGAAAATCTTTCCCATCTTTGCTTAGAGACCAATATTCTTAAACTGATTCCAAAATTAGGGGAGAAACCTCGTCTTCCTCTTAATAGTTTTTGAGAGATCTTTGTCGAAACATTAGTTTTATTTAGTACAGTGATTTGGAAGAACAGGAATTTTCAGTGGCCTTTCTTTTCATTAGAACAGTCTGCTCAGACATATTCTGATCAGAAACTCAGCATTGTATTTTTACTTGTGCGTGTAATTTTTTCTGTGCTGTAAAAGTTTGTTTTAAGGATTTGGTCTTCAGAGGTTTAAATCAAATTTTCGTTTTGATCTAGTGAAACAGGATTTTGTTAAAGTAAACAAACTACCGGATCATCTATTTTAAAGGCAAACATTCATCTAGGTCATCAGAACTGTTAATATCAGTCTTTAAATCTGAAAAGGCTGGTGAAAGTATGAGGGTTTAAAAAATTAAAGATAACAAGTTAGGATAGCCTAGATTGCTTTTCTGATACATGTATCAAAATATAATATAAATACTTTTTTACTTCCATAGTTTAGAAGAAAAAACAATTTTTATCAACAATGCAAACATTCATAGAATTCTGATAACACTCTTGGAAGATCTTTCATGAATTGAAATTCATTCAAAATATTATATAAATGTTAAATTTCAA